AAGGAATATATATATATATATACACCTTCTGCCGAAATATATATATATATATATATATACATATACATACACACACATATATATACACATATATACATATATGTATGCAAACCAAAAATCAACCAAGGCAAATAACAAAACACAGAATACATAATATGTAAATTGCAGTAATGTGTCTAAAGGGAATGTAAACATATAGAGTTTATGTGAATATTATTTATCCAAAGTGAATAACTTAGAACTAAAATTAATGCTCATGTACATAGACTTACAAGATATATGGTAAATGGTAAGCAGAGTAAGAAAAGCCAAATGTAAAGATGAAAGGTATTTGAAAAAACGTCGAGATGAGGATCGTAAAACCAGCCTCCTGTCAGGCTCGCCCAGACGCCTTGTCTCAAAATTTCCAGCGTTTGAGAACCCATACCACTTGTAAAAGTTCTCCCTCACCATCTTCCCATCACTTGCTATTCTACAGCTTTATTCGTGGTCTGTCTTTTCTATTCGGAAAATCGCGTGGCAAACAATAAGACGATACATTTTATCTCGGCCTTATTAATCAATGGATTTGACGCACACGACTCACTGACTTCGCAGCCATCTTCACATCTCAGATGATTTTAAACATGAATCATATGATTACGTACATGATCAGAACTCCTATGATTTTCTTTGAAATTGTTTTATATGAACTGGTCATTGATATTGATTATAATCGTTAAAGAAAAGTGTAATGAGCAAATACTGTCATCTATCATTAATATATTTAGAAATTTATTCGAATATATATAATTTAATTAATTATCTTTGAGTATAAATATGGTTTTTTCTTGGACTACTTCGTAATCGTTCTATTGTGGATAAACCTTATACACTCCAAATATCATAAGCAACCTTTTGAACATTCTCTCTATGAATCGTGGTCCAATATATCACGTCAACGGTGGGGCCGTCAAACGAAACATGGCGTCCGTTAGGTTATTACTATGAGTGCTGCTTCGTTTTCTATCATTAAATGTGGAATCATCGTGCGTTTTGCGGGCT